TGAGAACATAGTACTACTATTGTACGTTACCTTGGATTTGATTGCAGAAATAACACGGTATTGAACCAGAATGGGGACAGGGAATAGACCTTATGTAGGCAGTCTGTAATAAGGCCCAGAACTTTGGCCCCGCTGGTCAGTGAGCCTGACAATAATAAATCATGTCCAAGGCGTCAATGTACTGATGACCATCAGTATATAAATTTACTCACGCATGTGAAGTAACCGGTATCGTGATGTCCACAACGCTGAACCAGCGTTGGTACCGCGTGGAGACTCGAGCAGGTATTTATTGTTAGTAACTTGCCTTTCAATCGCCGCGTTTTTCCGAGCTTATATTCGACATGGGATAGGTCAGAAGTAGTTCCTCATGAAGACATCACGGTTCTATAATATCGAGCATTGGAGGCCACCTCAAATCACCAACCTCCTTAAGTCTCTCAAAACCCTAAACCGTTCAACGGGAGGGTATAGATATGGTAGAGTACAAGAATTGATGGACGCACTCACTCGCTATCACGGCGGGGGGAGCTGCGTTGGACTGACAGCTCGATACATTCAGGCACCCACCACAACCACCGTCCTGGCAACTACCCAACAACCAGGTCTCCATACGAACTGGTATACGATACGGATACACTTATGCACATCTATGACTAGGTCGATGAGGAAATAGTGGATATACGTGTGGAGAGGAGACTTGTTCGCTCAGGATAGACACCCAATAATAGCCCTCCCCGTTCTCATCGCATTGTCCATCCAGACTTCTATAAGTTTATCGATCAAATCTCGAATGACTAGACAGGTTACATATGGCAATGTCAATCCGGTTCGAGTGCTCGCTGACTGTACTCGACTCTATGGTTTGCTGGGGGGGCGGCTTCCGAGAACTCTGCGGCTAATCCTCAGGGCTGATCGCATTCTCAGGATACACTGTATGAATCATCAGATTCTATCCCAAATACTTACATCGGCTACAAGGCATCCAGACCTTTATTCATATCCTAAAGGATTCTTCTGACCCAGAAGCGGGCTTCTCTAAAGATGATATGAAAATGTAGATTGCTTATAGCCAAAGTCCATAATATGATCGTGACTCCTTGGATTGAATGTCACTGGGATCGTGCAAGGAGACAGTAAGAGATCAATAACCACAACTAGCACCAATGGCGCTCTGATGATTAAGTAGAGGAAGCGAAAAGAGTACCACCAGGCTACGATTTATCATGTGGAGGAATTGTACCATCAAGGTCACAGTCATAGAGCGTTGTTCTCACCGCCGCACGCAACTCGCCTAATGTCTGAGAGGATTCATAAAATATAAAATGTAGAAAACCGACCCCTGAGAGAACTGCTTTACCGAAGTGAGCACCACAAATTTTCACCATTCGTTGAAGCCAAAGCAATTTCGGCATTTTCCATGGAACCCGGCTGTAGTGTTTAGCGATTAAGTCTTGAACCTTGATCTTTGACTCATCATATTCTTCCTGAAGCGTATACACTCCTTTCTTTAATTTCCCTTTGGTGGCAGTTATACAAGCTGATTCGGCAAACTTCATCCCATAATCGTTGAAAATATTTTCGTTATCGAACCACCATTTGCCCATATCCTCTTCATCTTCCAAGCCAGTCACGACTAGCACTATCGGAACTGCACTGCAGCATAGCTGTTTATAGAATAGGTCGTAGTTCGTCTGGTCTGTTTTTGTGATTCGAGGCGCTCGCAGGATGTACACCAGCAGATTAACGCCATTTTCCAGCTGGCGTATAAGTCCGTAGAGATTTCTGATCGCTTGTTCCGCCGCACACGTCCCTTGGTCACCTTCGTCGAGGCCGACTGTATCGAACACATTTATCGTTCGTTCACGGAGCACTTTTTCGTAACATTCGTTCTTGAAGGTTTCACCCTTTGCTCCGTTTGACACTTTGGCCTCTCTAGAACCATGGAGCATATTGATTACAGAGCTTTTACCACTGCCTGTTTCCCCAAGGACGATGATATTAGGATACTAACATGGGGGAATAATGAGTAGATATGAGTAGGCATCTCAGGAGCCAATTGAAAAGGATTACGGACATTCTTGGTTGCATCGAGCGCTGGCTGAAGATCATCGCCATTTGTAGCTGCGCCAAGCGCCGTGGGAGTTTGGTCCTTTGAGTTGACCTGAGGAGGTGCACCTAATTGGTTACGAGTAGTTAGATTAGAATGATGTAACCAAATGAAATTGCTTACAAGAAGATCTCTCTTCAGTCTTTGATTCCTCCATGATCACTAAGACTCTTCTTAGTCTTGGACTTGAGAACATAGTACTACTATTGTACGTTACCTTGGATTTGATTGCAGAAATAACACGGTATTGAACCAGAATGGGGA